ATACAAACTTAGTAAATTATATTTTCAAATCCGATAATCTCTCAACACTAATACAAAACCTATCTACTATGCATATTAGTTTGTATAACAGGAATAAACTTACTATTGACTCTCCTAAAACTGATCTTGTCAAATTTGATAAAAAATTAATCTACTAAGTCTGTTTCTATTATACAAACTTAGCAAATTATTATTTTTTATTTATTTTTTTTTTAAATTTGGCAGTCTTGTCTTTACTGTTTTATTATTACTCTAAGGTATTATAGTTACAAATGTACATACATATATTTACAACTATCTAATTTATTACAGATAAGGCTTACCTAGTTACTAACTTAATATCTATATGCGAGCTGCTATATGAAATTTTATTTCCTAGTAACCGCCTCTTTTAACCAGACCAATTACTAAATTACCGGATAGTTTTCAAACCTATATTATTATATATATTCTGTTTATATACTACTGTACAATGTCTACTAGCCAACTTCTACCCCTCAGTACTTATCACATTACTCCTAATTTGTTTCTTGTACCACTTCCAAATTGGTGTCTTTCGAGTGGGTGCCCTTGATGCTTCCAGTTTGGTATCTCTAGAGGAGTTGCTTTATGGGTCTAGCTATATTTTAAACAATTAAGTTGCCAAACTAGGATAATATTTCACATCAATCCAGGTGTTAGCGTCGTATACCACCAAATTAGGCTACCAATTCTTCTATAGTACTCCCTATTGGTATGATGATACAGGGGTCTGGATTCTTCGAACAGGAGTTAAGTACCTCATTTAATTACTGTTACAATCCAGTAACCCAAGACCTGCGCCTCTGCCATGTTTCGTCATAGACTCCTATATAGGTTGTGCAACTATTACTCCTTAGCCTGTCTTTATTTTTGTACTATCAGATCGCCTGCTTCTAGTGTTGTAAGCTGACTAGGGTAGCCACAGCTAAGCCGGCTTAGCTGACTAAGCCAGCCGAAATAATATGGTCGGCTGGCTAATGCGGCTAAAGGCCACATGATTCATAAATAGTAGGATTACGATAAATTCCAAGAAGAAAAATGAATAAACATAGAATAAACATGAAAAATTTTTGAAGTATTCCGAAAAGTATACTGTTAGCCAGCCGCTTAGCCAATGTTTTAGTCGGCTGGCTTAGCTAGCCGACTAAAGTCATGCGGCTTACAACACTACCTGCTTCTATACTTTCAGAGTTTCTTTTAGCTAGTTTTTCTTGTTTCCTTGTGCCAGAGATGTTCTATATTTGGTAAAGCTATCCTCTTACCACAGCCCCTTATTATATTTACTGCTTCTCTTACCACTTCAGGATATATTATATTCAGCTATTCTCCCAATCAAGATCCCAATACTACCTTAGAGTTGTTGGTGCTACCTTGCCAATCGTGGATTTATACACACAGCCTTCTGCAATAAACTTTCTGTAACCCATATTACATGCAGTGCCCAGTCTTCTCCATGGCTTGGGGCTCCTTCTAAGAATTCTTTATAGGCCAAATATATACATCACATGGTCTTAACGTTATAGAGTTCCGTATTCGAAAGCTCCCGAAGGTTACAGAGATAATTAATTAAATTAATTATTACCAGCTATAATCGAACTGTCAACCTCGTTTGTGGAGGGTTAGGCACCTAGACTACTAGGCTACAGGACCCTAACCTCTCACTTAGCAAATTATAATGTTTTCAAATCCGATAATTTCTTAACGCTGATAACCATCTTTTAATTTACTATTGATAAAGATTGCTTAAGTACTACTTTTACATTTTAATATATTAAATATAATAAACAATGAATTCACAACAAAATTCACAACAAATAGCAACTTTTTTTGATGCTTGAAGTTTTTAAAACAAATAATTGATATTTTGATATAAATATAATTAATACAATTTATCTTTTAATATTTAACTAAACAGGCACTATTCCATTTTTTGCTCATATAAACTTAGTAAATTTTTGTTTACTTTTTTGTTACTATAAAGCAACTTTTGCTAATGATTCTATAAGTTGTTACTGTTGTAACAAAAGGTTAATATTGGTAAAATCATTAAAAAGAAGAAGCTGATATAACCAAAGCTGAAGATTCGGTAGTTAGTTAAACAGAATTTTTTTATTAGATTTTTTAGATATTTTAGATGATATAACAAAGATTATAAAAAATAAAAAAAGAGTATGCTCAAGTATTTAATTCTATAAATATCACTATTGATTGTGATATTTGAGTATTATTACAATTATTCTTTAATTAATTGATTTAGATACTTAAGAATAGCTTAGTCGATTAACTTTTTATCAGATTTGGCAAGTTATTGATTTTGACAAGATCAGTCAACAGTAATTTATTCAGGTTTATAAATTTTAGAATACAAATTTGATTGGCTAATAGTGTGGTCTGGAAAGTAAGATTGTATTTCAGATTATATGAACCTTTCCGAACATCTAGTAATTCGAAAAATGGATTATGTGACTTTTTCTTATTTTAATTGGCTAATAGGCCAGAGATATATAATTATATATTTCTAGCTAAAAATGTCTAGAAAAATCCGTAAAAAATATATATATAATATTGTATATAAGTATAATATAAAAATTTAGAAGATATAAGAATTTGGAAGATATAGCAACTTAGTATAGTAGTCTAGTTATTACTTTCTCTAAGTGGCAGATCTAGAGTTCAAATTCTATAAACGATAATTAGCTTGCGTTATAGTTAATGACTATTAATTATTGGTTGGATTTAGAAACAAATCTGCGATCTTCAATAGTGCTACAGAAAGGCTAAATTTAAACTAGGGCCTAAGATTAGAAAACTGAACAACCAGATCTTTAAGTGAGAAAATATACTAGCCAAACTGCCAGATACTAAATATACTAGAAAAAAAAGACATATGCTCTAAAAATATATTTTAAAAGGAGAATAACTATGAAATACCTAAAGCTTGGGCAGACTGACCCTTCAGGTTGCTGGCTTGAAGTAAAAAAGAGACCGATAAAGAATTCAGGTAAAAAGACAGTTAAAATGTGGGTACTAGAGTTGTTATAAATCTATACAAGAGCAAGAGTAAGTAATTAGAAAAGTTGTAGCTTAAGATATAGAATAGATTATGGCAGTATTCTAATGGCAGTATTCTAAAGAATAACTTGAGATATGAACTTGGTAATAGCAGCACAATAGGTACTAACTAGAAAAGAAATTACCGAACATGCAGGTAAATACATGTATAAAACATGTATTGCTCTGTTGGGTTTATCTTGAAGATAGTTAAGTATCTTAAGCCGGTTAGTAAATGTAGTGGTGTTGCAAAAGCTACCAAACAAATAGTAAGCTATATTTACATTAGGTAGGATTAGGCTAAATATATTAAGACCAGAAGGCTTAAATAAATAATCCCATTGTTGGGTTACAGATACGGCAAATAGTGTAAAACCCTTAACATAGCATTTAATTCTTTGGGCAGACTATTTAAATTAGACACCAAAAATACATGTGTGGCTTGATATACTTTCATCATAATATATAGTGTTTAAACTTACTTAATAAAATCTCACCTACTAACTTTAATAATAAAATAATAATAATAATAATAATATAAGAATTTGGCTAACTCTCTTCTAGAATATTACATAATATCTGTCATCACTTTATTAAATATTTAGATTATCTAGTTTTGAATTTAAAAAAAACAACTATAAACCACTAAACCCAACTTTTATTTTAATAAAATTTTAAATAATTTTAAATAATTTATTTATTTAATTAACTATATAATCAAAAATAGTAACCCGCATGGGTTGATCTGACCAGGTAAAGCTTTATTGTGGCCTCAAGCCAATAAAAATATATGCTATATCACATGACTAAGGCAAGGCATATGTGTGTCCAGGCCTTTTTGAACTGTTCGGGGCTTACAAATCTAAAAATTGCACACATGTATTCAAAAGTTAATTCTGAAGTTTAATTAATAATAAGATTTTGGGTTATTTGGTGTTAAATTCTGTCTAAATGTTGTCCGAGTTACCCGAGTGACAACATTAGTCCATAGGCACGTTTCAAAGGGCATGCCCGTGCCCTCTTGTCTCGAACCTAGTGTAAATAAACTAAATACCACTCCAGGGTAGCTCCCGAAAAAAAATTGTTTTAGTGATATGAATAACATAATTTTTTATTAGGCCAATTGTTTCTCATGTAATACTTAATTAATAATTTTTCAAAGAATTTTCGAGCTACGTACGAACGTACGTACGTAACACAAATCAATTATTTTGTTCCGGAACTAAAAACGCGCTAGTGTTTAGACATTTCTCGGGCTTACATGTCGGGAATAATAGTTCGTATCAACCTACAGTTTATGTTTTCGTTTGTATTGCGCATACATTTAAATAAAGTCGAGTAGGTTAGTATTATTTTGGGATCTTTGCTATTAAAATGACCCTCCGAGGCTATGTTGATTTTGGGAATAAAAATTAAATTTGCCAGTATCTAATAATCCAATTTGAATAAACTTTTTTTTATTTTGTAAATCCCAATAGAATCTACGAATGAAAAAAATCTCATTCAAATTGGATAACTAGATGCCTGGCAAATTTGATTTTTATTCACAAAATCAACATAGCCTCGGAGGTAGCAAAGATCCCATTTTATCTTCTGGTACATTGAATCACCCGGCATCTCGACCGATTCTTTTTTGGATTCGTGTAACATGTACGCGACCTTTTATAGATCAAGTGATCTGGAAATTTCATTGAATAATGCTAATTGCGAAGAGACTTAAAGCAACCATTTATATGTTTATAAGAGTTATTTGCATTGGTTTAAGATAATTTGTTCGAACTTGTATGTGATACCGTATACGTACATTCAGCAGACGTTGTACAACAGATAACAAGTCATCCGTGTAATTTTGTAGTAAATGAGAAACTATATTTGATTCACAATCCTGCGGACAGATTTTGCACTTTTTCTTGAAATATTTTTATATAATGTCTTTGACCTCGAATTATCAACCTTATGGTCAAAATGAGACACTTGTCTCGTCTATCCGTAATATTACAAAGGTTCGTCTTTGATACTTCGAAATGCATTATTTATATATATTTAGGATATTTGTTTAATATCTTTTTTAGGATTATCCCTCCGAAAGTGTTTTTAAGGAATTCCTTCAAAATGGCAAGAATTCAACCTAAATTTAATACTTTGATTATTTTTATTTATTTATTTATTTTTTGTCTGTTTCTGAATTGTTATCCACTTAAAAACAACAGCCGATGATGCAGGAGCTACTAGATTTCATGTAATAATCGATGCTCGTCGACACCCCACTGAGACTTTACTTTCAAATGAAATGAAGGCTTGGCAAGGACCCGCCATATTAATCTTCAACAATGCAAAATTTAAAAAAAGCGACTTTGATTCGCTTATGCAGATCCGTGTTGGCGGAAAACAAGGTGATGACACAAAGATTGGGAAACATGGATTGGGCTTTAATTCATGCTATCATTTTACCGATGTTCCAAGTTTTGTCAGTGGAGATTATATTGCGTTTTTGGATCCACATCAGAAATATCTGCCATCAAAAGAGCGTGGTAGTATCGGAAATATTCCCAAAGAAGGCATCAATGAATTCCCTGAAAAAGATCAATTGGTTCCTTACGAAGGTATCGAAGGCAATAATTTTCGTTCAACCTTTGAAGGAACACTTTTTCGATTACCATTTCGACAACAACCAAGTGAAATATCTGATAGTATTTTTACTACTGTTGATGTTCTTCGATTAGTTAACAGCATTAAATTAAATGCTGCCTCACAATTTTTATTTCTCCGGAATATTGAAACATTTGAAGTATCTCACATACCAGCAGGTACATCACCACAACAAATGGTTCCTCTTTGGAAAGCAACCATAATAGGATTGAATGATGATGTACGAAATAAAAGAAAACGCATTAACAATGATGAACTTCAAATTTATGAGATGAAGGTTGAGTTAATTGACAGTGCAAACAAGCAAATAGATCATTGGATTATCGCTACTGGAGCTCAAAAAGATCCAGAAGATACTCAGCTGAAACAATATGCAAAGCGACATCGATTACGTATATTAGGTGGTATTGCTGCACAGCTAAGTAGTTCTAAAAAAAGAATCCATACTTCGGACCAACCAATTAATCTTTTTGGAAATTTAAGTGAAGTTCCAAGTGAATTTAAGGGTAGAATGTACTCCTTTCTTTCATTACCTGACATTACAAATTTACCTGTTCATTTAAGTGGAACTTGGGCTCAAAGTTCAGACCGTGCGAGGTTACTAATTGAAAAGGATGACACACCAGATATCGATCATCAGAAACTTAAATGGAATAGACATATCTTGCTTGAGTTCTTACCAAAAATTCATTGTGGACTCTTAAAAGAAATTATCGAATTGCAGAAAAGTAAAAAAATTAATCTAGAAAGTAAACCTACATCAAAATTCTGGCCATTTCCACCCATTTCCCGAAATCATCCAAGGTATGCAGTTGAATATGGTTGCAAGGTACTCCAACATATGTTACAAACCAAAGACATCTTTCCGATGATTGCTGATGGCAGTTATGAACACAGGTAAAAAAAAAAAAAAACAAAAAAAAAAGGGTCGAATTTGACGATGATTAAGCATACATTTATTCAGTATGTTACGTATATTAAAATTTTTCCGGTGGGTAGGAGTAATAGCGTGGACATTCTCTTCAGTACCTTAGCACGTTCCCAAATCGAAGATCTCCGTAATTTATTGCGAAATAACTGGGATGAAATAGGTAAACTGTCCTTTTAAGTTTTATATTACATATTTGTAAATTAGTGATTGTGTAGATTTATTTTATCTATTTATATAGGAGTGAAATATGATCATAATCTTAAGACAATGATCCTTTCATTGCCTATGTGGCCAGTGCGCATAAGTTCATTAGATCAAGTATCAAAGCCAGCTTTAAAGCCAGTTTCATGTGGATATATTTTGCCAAAAGAAGTAGACTTATATAAGTTGAAGAATAATACAACATATTTGTCTTATTCTGATGACCTTGATGAACGAATTTTGGCAGATCTTAATGTTCCTCATCGGGATGTATTCTCCTATATCTTTGAGGATGTTGAATTTCCTAAAAAATCCGATGAACAATATATGATGTTCCTAAAAAGTATACTCAAATATGACAAAGATACGCCTTATCGTAGAATTATCCATGGTTTAAAGGGAAGGCGTTGTTTCCCTACAGATAGTAGAAAAACATTGAAGAAAATTTCCGATCTATATCATAACAGCACGATTTTTTATACCGTTTTTGCAGACTCAGATGTTTTTCTTCACCCGGATCTTAATGAATATTCAGCAGAGTTAGCAGTTATTGGATACAAAAATAGAATCAACCAAGAGACATTCAATAAATGCGCAGAAAAAATCGAGGAATATCAAAATCAACGCAATCCACCGACTGATTTACGATATCGAGGCTTCGTCTTGGTTAACTGTCTTTATAATAATTTTCAATTTATTAAATTAGATAGTGTTGAACGAATTCCATTCGTTCCGGTTGCAAAAAGTTTGGACGATCCTTATAAAATGTATTATAAACCCCCTAGAGATTTAAATTGCTTCAAAGAGATAATCCTTCCTAAATATAAAGAAATCGCATGGAGCCAAAAATCATTGGTCGCAGAAGATATTATACCACCACCATTTGTACTCTCAAAATATCCATCACTTGGTAAACCGGATGTTTTTACCGTAGTTAAACATCTACGCTTTCTGCATGATACTCTTTTGAATGATGAGATGTGGAAAAATGATTGGGGAGATACATTCAAACATAACGTTTATGAAGTTTATAAGTGGCTTGACGAAGAATGTTCAAATGAAGATATTAATTTGAGTCAATACATTGCACAAAACGAACCATTATTCCTTAATTTTCATAAGGACTTGAATCCATTTAATCCAGAAAATTGGTGTTCAGCAAATGATTTAGTTTTGAACAGTGAACCAGGAGAAAGGAAGTACGTCAGTCCGTCACTTTCCAAATTTTCTAATATGCTCAAATGTGCAAACGTCCGAGAAATAAAACCACCAAATGTAGAGATACATGTCAGATTACATAATCAATTTAATTTTACCAATTCAATGTTTGAATTCCTATTGAATCAAGATCAGGCAACTTTCTTGCATGACGTAGTTTTTAATGTGAGTGGAGAAATTATAAGAACAAATCGATATATGCTCGCGGCTACCTCAAACTTTTTTCGTGAGAAATTCATGTCAAGAGATTTTGCGGTATCAAGTCCAGTCAATCCGGTTACGATTGTGATTGAAGATGTCAATCCAAACTCAGTACGTGTCTTGCTGCGTTACTTATATGGGCAGAGTATCGAATATGCAATTCAAAGTTTAAATGGGATCGATATCAATCCATCTCTGGAAATGATAATATATGAAGACTTACTAAAGTTGGCAAATTCTTATGAATTAGACCATTTGAAAGATCTTATGGAATTGAAACTCTCGCGATTAGTTTCGATGTCAAATGTGGCTTTTATGAGACAATTGGCAATAAATTTGAATGCTAATCAGCTTGAAAAATATTGCCAACAGTTTATCATTGATTATAAAGATCTGATGTAAGAAATTGGATAGAATAATTATGATTCTAATATCAATTAAAATTAGAATATATCAATATTTTAATTAGAATTATAAGGTATATAGCTTAAAAAGTAAATTATTATTCGATTTTACATTCTAAATTAGTACTTTTTTGTAGAATAATAATGAAAAATGTATACAGTTGCCTTAATTCTTTTTTTTCTTTTTTTTTTTTTGATTATTTGTATATTTCCGATGAAAATAAATTGTAACATTGTAATCAAGTTCACATAACGATAACGATAATGAATTATCTTTGACAACGGTCCCGAATGGTTTCGGGAAGTCAGGTCGAAGACCTGCATTAATATAATACAAGCCGATTGATTTTCAAAACCTTTACTTAGTAGTTGGTAGGCAAATTTTTTCTCATCGTTATTATACTTGTTATCCAAACCTGGACAAATCCCAAACCCCTAAAAAATGATTGCTATTTATGAAAAATAAATTAAACAAATAATCTTAAAAGTTTACAAGTATATTATCTATAGCTATAATATATATGATTTATTTAAACAAAGATTATTAATAAAATTTTTGAGCTATGAGTTTGGTCAGACCCTTTGGGTTTGTCCAATTTAAATAAACTTGAAGTGGACAAACCCAACGCGTCTAGCCAAATTCATAGCTCAAAAAATTTTATTAATAATCTTTGTTTAAATAAATTATATATATTCTTATAGCTATAGACAATATACTTATAAAATTT